CTGTCTGACGCGTCTGCCTCCGCGACCCGGAAGGAGAAGCGGCGATGGAAGATGAAGATGAAGAAGATGTCACAAAAACTGTAACACAGCTTATGAAGTCATGTGGCTCACTGTATACTGTACAGTTGTACGTTTCACACAAGAGCAGTTTTCCATTAAAGCATAAACTGTAGGTCTTCTGTTGTGCAGTCACGATCGATGATATTCGTTATGCTTTGCCGTGACTGACTCAGTGACTTTAATTAATTCAGCTTTCGTTTTCTTAGACATCTCGTATAGTGATGTTGTTACGCTAGCATGCATGGCGTTTCGTTCATGAATGAAATGTGCAAGCAGGGAATATCACTGTTCAAGAACAGGTCAAATAAACTCATAATCGCTGAGTAGAGTCAGCGCAGTGATACGTTCGTTACCTCATGCTGAGGAAAATTTTTACGAGGACTTACAAGCACTCTGTCCCATTTTGTCGCCATGGTAAACTTTTGATCGACAGATTTGCCTTGACAAATCCTCAGATACCGTTGCCTGTTAGCCAATCATTGTGAGGTTTCGCTAACCCATTTTGGTTACTGTAGCGTTTGGAGAGAACCCCACGAAGCGCAGTTTATTTCCCTCTCCAAAATGCAGTGCCATAATTTGGCAATTATTTACTCGTAACGGAAAAGGCGCAAAGAAAGTTTTATGTCTGTTGTGATACTGCCCTTTCTTTACACTTTTATAATGGTGGACATTCTTAGCACTTTCGTTCACTGGTGCCGAATTCTGTTTTAACGCCATAAAAAGTGAGTGTTTAATTTACGAGGGCAATATTTACACCTGTATGACTGTTCATATTGTGTAGTGTCCTGTCTTCCATCTGCACATAACGGTTTTCATTCGTTTTCCGTAGTCGTTCAACAATTACTGAATTGATGGCATTATTTGAGACTGTCATATCAGAGAAGACTAACAAAAGCTCAGTTATTTCTCGTCTGCCAACATCCGAAGGAAGAAAGTCGATTTTACTTGTCAGATTTTCGATCCATGATTTTACAGTTGTCAGTTTGGCCCAATCGATCGAAACTTCCTCGTTTTGTCAGCAACGGTTTGAAATTACAAAACTCTGGTTCTGATTAATTACTATCAACATCAGCAAGAGTAGCAAGTTAACAGGTTTTGTTCAAGAATGAACACTGTTAATGGTTTGTTCACCTGAAAGGAGGATATCGTGACACTTGTTCAGCGAAGGAGACAATTTCCTGTTCGTGATTGAATTTCAAATGAAGAGATGCCACTCAGCGGCATTCCTCTTAGTAATAAACCGGATGCACACCGGGATCATAATCAACATTGTCTGCTTGTCTTGGCAGCGCTTAAGTTGATGGGGGATGGGTATAAAGTTTGAAAATAATTTTATCGATTTTAATCTCTGTTTTTCCAAAATAGGATTTTTCTTTCAATACTAGGACTTCTTGGTTATATGCCTTTGTTGCTGGCTGTTATTGTGTCTTAAAATGTTTGCGTAAGTTCTAGCAGTGTTGCCCTAGCAGGACATGGTGGAATGTCTGACTGTCTAAATTCGTTTCAATTGCAGCTACCTGACCTAACTCTATGAACGTTTAATTTTACATTTGTCATGTTGACACACAATGAGCAAATCAACAGTTGTCGTTATCATAGGACTTCTAGGACTTCTCTTACAACATATTTTGT